TTTTAGACGGAGTTTTGCTTTTGTTACCCAGGCTGGAGTGCAATGACGCGATCTCAGCTCACCACAACCTCTGCCTCCCGGGTTCGAGCGATTCTCCTGCTTCAGACTCCCGAGTAGCTGGGATTACAGGCATGTGCCACCACACCCAGCTAATTTTGTATTTTTAGCAGAGATGGGGTTTCTCTATGTTAGTCAGACTGGTCTTGAACTTCTGACCTCAGATGAGCCACCCTCCTCGGCCTCCCAAAGTGTTGGGATTACAGGCGTGAGCCACCATGGCCAACCGGCTTTTGAGGATTCTAAAGCAATTATTTAAATTGTTGAGGTAAGGCTGGGCATAGTGGCTTACGCCTGTAATCCCAGCACTTTGGGAGGTCAAGGTGGGCAGATTACCTGAGGTCAGGAGGTTGAGACCAGCCTGGCCAACATGGTGAAACCCTGTCTGTACTAAAAATAACAAAAATTAGCTGGATGTGTTGGTGAATGCCTGTAGTTCCAACTACTCAGGAGGCTGAGGCAGGAGAATCGCTTGAAACCAGGAGGTGGAGGTTGCAGTGAGCCGAGTTAGCACCACTGCACTCCAGCTTGGGCTACAGAGTGGCACCCTGTTGCTAAGTAAATAGTTGAGGTAAGTAAATATTTCTAGTACATAGAATGAGTTATTTATAAAGGAATATTTTTAAAGGTCTCTGGCTTTTTGAAAATGGGTATAATCAAAAGGGCTGAAGCTTTCCTGATAATCATTCAGTGGTCATAGTTAGGATGTTTAGAAGATACCTCTTATTGCAGTTTTCAGTATTCTGATTATTATTTTTCTTTTATCTGGGACAAACTTAGTCTGGGTGACTTGAGGCAGGATATTGCTTAAGCTCTCGTCCTCATTTTTCTCATCTAGAAAAAAGAGCTCTAAGGTCCAGGATCCTTACAGCTCAGACATGATAGGATTCTCTGAAATTAATGAAAAAGATTAATAAGTTGCCCCAATTCAGAATATTAAATTAAGCGTACCTTGCTTTGTATAGCTTGTTTTACAGCTTACAATATACTTTCACACACATTTAAGTAAATTAATGTTCTTTTTTTTTTTTTTTTTTGAGACAGCCTTGCTTTGTCACCCAGGCTGGAGTGCAGTGGCGTGATCTCGGCTCACTGCAACCTCCACCTCCCGGGTTCAGCCAATTCTCCTGCCTCAGCCTCCCGAGTAGCTGGGATTACAGGCACCCGCCATCGTGCCCAGCTAATTTTTGTATTTTTAGTAGAGATGGGGTTTCCTCATGTTGACCAGGGTGGTCTTGAACTCCTGACCTTGTGATGCACCCACCTCGGCCTCCAAAGTGCTGGGATTACAGGCGTGAGCCACTGTGCCCAGTATTTTTTTTTTTTTTTTTTAAGTAAGAGACTGGGACTTGCTACGTTGCCCAGGCTGGTCTTGAACTCCATGGCTCAAGCAGTCCTTGCCTTGGCCTCCGGAGTAGCTGAGATTACAGATGTGTGCCACCATACTGTTTATAATGAAATACTAAACCACATCGAAAAACAAAATGAGCTTCTTGTTGGATGTTTTATTGCCATTTATTGCATTGATTTCCATTTTATTACTTTGCTCGTAATACAAAGTAAGATAAAATGAGAATTCCATAGAGGTATAAAGAGACTCTTCTAGAGTTCCTTAATTCTTGAAATAGCACTTGGTATGACAAACCATAATATCAAGTCATCTGTTTGCTACTATGTGTTAGCAGGGATTGCTCTTTGAGAATAGAAGGTGGGGGAACCTCACCTAACTGTTACGTTTTCGGGTTCCATCTGAGCTGTATGGTGCCTTATCCAGCTTCTAGAGCTGTGCCAAGTGAGCACTCTTCATTATGACCAGACTGCTCAATACAGTGCTGGGAGTAGAAATTGACCCAGTATTCACCATTATGGTTCTGGGGTAACCAAAGTCTGAAGGCAGTTTTAAAAACTACCCTCAGATTAGCATTAGAACACTATGTTATGGAAGCAGTGTGAAGGAATACATTGTCCTATATATTGTATATTTTACATGGAAAACGTCATATTTTAATAGTCTCAACTTTCTAGAGTAAACCTATAAAAACCCATCATGAATCACTGGAAGATGGTGTTTTTGCCCATTATTAACTGACACTACTAAAAGTGGATTCTTTCGTGGTAAGCTAACAGGCCTCAGGCAAATATTAATGTGTTGATTGAAAACTCAGTACCTTTCACCTCTGAGACAGGATTGCCTAGTAACTAAATCACTAGGGTGGCCCTTTTTTTTTTTTTTGACAGAGTCTGGTTCTGTTGCCCATGCTGAAGTACAGTGGCAGGATCTCGGCTCACTGCAACCTCCGCTTCCCAAGAATCAGAACATTGCCAGTACTTTTTTCTACATATATGTTCCTCCCCAGTCTGATCCCCCACCCTACACATCCCTTTTTTTCTTTTTTTAATTGAATGTAATGTAATTCTTTTTTTTTTTTGAGATGGAGTTTTGCTCTTGTTATCCAGGCTGGAGTGCAATGGTGTGATCTCAGCTCAGCGCAGCCTCCACCTCCCGGGTTCAGGCGATTCTCCTGCCTCAGCCTCCTGAGTACCTGGGATTACAGGCATGTGCCACCACGCCCGGCTAATTTTTGTATTTTTAGTAGAGACGGGGTTTCTCCATGTTGGTCAGGCTGGTCTCAAACTGCCAACCTCAGGTGATCCGCCCGCCTCAGCCTCTGAAAATGCTGAGATTATAGGTGTGAGCCACCGCACCTGGCCCTGGCCCCCCCCCTTTTATTTTTTTTAACGGAGTCTCGCTCTGTCGCCAGGCTGGAGTACAATGGCACTATCTTGGCCCACTGCAACCTCTGCTTCCCGAGTTCAAGTGATTCTTCTGCCCCAGCCTCCTGAGTAGCTGGAACTACGGGTGCCCACCACCACGTGCCCAGCTAATTTTTGTATTTTCAGTAGAGATGGGGTTTCACCATGGTGGCCAGGCTGGTCTCAAACTCATGACCTCAGGTGATCCACCCACCTTGCCCTCACAAAGTGCTGGGATTACAGGTGCCCGCAACCACGCAAGGCTAAATTTTTGTATTTTTAGTAGAGGTGGGGTTTTGCCATGTTGGCCAAGCTGATCATGAACTCCTGATGTCAGGTGATCTGCCAACCTTGGCCTCCAAAGTGCTTGGATTACAGGTGTGAGCCACCTTCCCAGCCTAGGGTAGACTGTTTCATTGGTGTTAGAACACCAGTCAAGGGACTGGGCGCGGTGGCTCACGCCTGTAATCCCAGCTCTTTGGGAGGCCGAGGCATGTGGATCACCTGAGGTCAGGACTTCGAGACCAGCCTAAAATGGCAAAACCCCATCTCTACTAACAAAAAATTAGCTGAGCGTGGTGGCGCATGCCTGTAATCCCAGCTACTCTGGGAGGCTGAGGCAGGAGAATCCCCTGAACCCGGCAGATGGGGATTGCAGTGAGCTGAGATGGCATCATTGCACTCCAATCTGGGGGACAGAGGAGGACTCTGCCTCAGAAAACAAAAACAATTCTAAAGAGCCTTATTGGAAGGAGAGGCATCAGTTCAGATCTGAGGAGCTGGAGTTGAGTTCAGAGGCCCAGTGAGTGAGATTTTTGGGAGATGTGAGTAAACACGTTTCCTGTTTTTGGTGGAAGTGCTGCCTAAAGCAAACCTTGGGCATCAGTTGGCTTCAGCTGTGAATGTGGGAAGGGTTGGTTACAAACCAGATGGTATCTGAGCAGGCCTTAACATATAGGGAAGATTCTGGGAAAACAAAGGGCTACCTGAGTCAGGTGTGTGGGGCAGAAACATTCATTTGATATATTGAGCTGAAGCTGGGCATTTGGGGCAGGCCGCACTCGTGTCCTGATACTCCATACAGTGTGGCTGCTGTTAGTGAGGGGTTATTGATTGCAAGCAACAAATGCTGGCTGGCTTAAGCAAAAGGGAGAGGCTAGAACCCAGAAATGCCTCACAGTGGGATGGAGGTCAGGCTACTGCCAAATAAAGTGCAGACATCTTGTCATTA